CAAGCCAAATAACTTAGTAGGCTCACAAGCCAGCTCACGAGCTGAATAAGTTTTTTGGCTTGCAAGCCAGCTCGTGAGGAGCTTTAGGATAACCCTCAGTCTGATTTTCAAGTTGCAAGACAATGGGAGAAGATTCGTAAGTTAGTCAGTGGTCCTTTGATTCACTTCCACCAAGTTACGGGTAGCTCTGTGGTTGGGATCAATAATGGGACTTTCAATGTAAAAAGACAGAAAGAAGACCATGAAAAGGTACAGATGTTGCATTTTTTGCTTGAGTTGTAGAAGTTGACAGAACTAATTATTTTACGATTTAATTTTTTTAGAATGATAGACAAGATCCCAAACGGACAAAAATAGAAGACTACTTCCTTGTTCATGCTGTCACTCTGCCTCCACATGAAACTCGGGCTCATGATGATATTCCCAAAGATGATATTGCCGAGGATGATCTTCTTATGAAATCCCCTTATGATATTATTGCTGATTGCAAACTGATTGTCAACAATGTATGTATCCAATCGAAAATGGAACAATGGCGCCATTCATCCAAATATGTTGAAGAAATACATAAGAAAGAGTATGTATATCTATTGATATCATTATTGGTATGTCTATATACCTTAGATACTGAAACTTTACTTTACAGCCTATTGTGTTACAATATTCTAGATACAACCTGTTCATCTGCGACAGAAGCATGAAAGCTCTTCAAGGATTATTGGAATAATATCATCAGCATTATAGAAAGATTTTTGATGTCAAGTCCTTATATAACACAATTAGCTTCTACTTCTGCCTCCACTTTAGCTTCATCTGATCAAGTTATAGAACAATATGGACAAGCAGATGAAATAAAGCAATATATAAAAGTAATCTTAACAGATGTGGTAAGTGGGTGTTATTTTTAAAGTATACTTGATTTTCATTTCTGATACATGTTTCATTAGAATTCTATAGAGAAATTGCACAAAGCCATCAAGACAGAATGTGCAAAGTTGTGGGTGAATGGCAATATGAAATGGAAAAGGCGTGCTTTGGGGTTGATGAAAATCTTGTGAGTATCTTGTGTAGACCTTTTTTGATCAGATTTTATACTAATGTGCAATTTTTGCATACCATAGTTGGGACCAATTTCCAAATAGCAGGAACTGTTTCAAAGAAGATTAGACCGAATATGATTATATCATTAAATTTATTTCTCGTATCTATACCATGCTGTTCAAAGATAATATATTTTTGAAATGTAACTGGTAAGTTAGAAACAGTTTTAATGTATATTATAATGCTTGTTAATACTCATTAGCATTGTTTTACTTATTGCCAATTTATTATCTAATAGGGGTGAAAAAACCTTGCGATCTTCCGCCATTCTGCACAACCAGTCATTGAAAGATAATGATCAATGGTGCTCTGGCAACAAAAGTGATGCAATCATTTCAATAATGAACCTGGACTTGGAGTTCTCAACCCTGGAGGTTTCGGGGTCTCCATCATGTCTTGATCACACTCACTATGTCGGGGATAAAAACAAAACTGCAAAGATGCTCAAGATTATCCTGAATTTCATTAAAATCAACTATTCAGGTGATTTTGAGGAGTTCAGGAGGATAAAAGTATATGGTATTCAAGTATATGGTAAGTTCAATGTGCTGGATGAATATTTCTATTTTAATTATATATACTAATGTTTTTCTTTTCATAAATCCTATATATAGACCATAACTTTTATGTTTATAGCATGTGTATGCCCTTTGCTGGTGTTTATTACTTCAAACTGGAAAAAAAGTTCTCTTGCCCGACAATGACGTTTTTGCTCTTCAAGGAGTAGGGTTTGTATTCATGGATACTGTAAGGAGGTCACACAGGGTTACATACTATTAAAATCAAGTGTTTTTAAGGGATTTTTTGCTGATTTATTAGTGTGTAACCCCCTTAACGGTATTCATGGTATCTGTGAATACAAACCCTATCAAGGAGTTGCCAAAGTTCGCTTCAAACTTGTTGATGATGCAAGTAAGTGTCTGCATGAAATGTTGGCATGCATATGATAATACTGATTTATGTAATTATATTCTTGAAAATTAGGATATGATTATTTCGAGTACTAAGAGTATACTGACTTATGTCATGAATACTAATGCAGAATCAAGTGATGATGATTCTAAGATTGACAATGTGAAAACCTCGCCCAGGAAAAAGAGGGACAAAATTAATTTATCAAATGAATTACTTTAACATTAAAAATAATCAAAAATTGTGCAAAAATATCAAAAAAATTTATTTTGGTGAACAAATAAACAAATATAAAATTATTTAGTTGAGTTAGAAAAAGGAGGGATCATATAATCAATAGATTAGTTGATAATTTAATTAAAATTGATGGTTTATTAGATAATTATTATGTGAAGATTGCAAAAAAAAAATCATATGAAGCTCCTTATTTTATTTATTTATTTTTCTTTTTTAAAAGAAAAAACTTAACTCAAATGCTCAACCCTGCCAATTGAATTTCACACACTGTTGGTAGTTGATTTTTTTTTTTTTTTTTTTTGTCTTGTTGGGAAGGATTCGCCTTTCCTAAAAAATTAAAATGGTTGTGATTGATAATGATGCTTCTGAATTCAAAAAAGGAAAAGTAAACAAGAGCAAATAATTGAGGTAAAACCAGATCAGTCTGTACCAATTCTTTTTTTTTTTATCAAACCTATTTTTAAACTTTTTTAATCTTTAAAAAATAATATAATATTCATTATATTATTCTAAGTTAGGCAGGCAGAAAGTTGTTTCTCTACTGATTTTCTTTTCTTTCTGGGTTCTTTGTGATTCTGTGTTAATGTTCTTTATTAGTTATATATATGATTTTTCCATCTTGCTGGTAAATTTCATAAGTAATCCTTTCTTTTCTTAGATAAGCTTCCAGTGTTTGAGTATCATTTATTTTGAAAATATAAGG